TGAGACTGCAGTCTGTTACTTTAAGGCGAGCGGAGCACCTGACTGTTTTGAATAGTTTCTTGCATATCGGATTAAAATAGCTCAAAAAAAGTAATCATCCGTTCAGAAACAACGCAAATCCATCGGTGATTCAGTCAAAGTAATACGACTTTTTGCGAAGATGTACAATGCCGTCATAAATGTAATTTATAGTCTCGTGTATGTATAAAAAAAATGACAGTGTACATATAAAAAAAAAAAAGGAAACTCAACACTGTTAGAACGTTGTGTAAGGAAAGAGACCGTGTATACATGAAAAAAGCAAAACGAGCATAAGAGAACTGTCGTGGTCCAAAATGTAAGTGAAATAAAACCATTAAGTTTCGGAATGCAACTTCGATATCGGCGATCGAGTTAAAAGTAAAACTTTGCATTGAAAAAAAGCAATAACTAAAAGTATACGTAATGTCCAGTAGATCAATATAATGCCCGACTTATGTCCCACGGAATTGCTTAAAAAAGGAAAAAAGAAAAGCAAACAAAAAAAAAAGAAACGTTTCGTTATCATATTCTTCGTCATGTCCATAACGGATTTCTGCCAGTGGCGATACGATTATATTTTTTTTCGAGTTACTCTCCGATATGCATCCTATAATGCTTCCATCATATAATTAAACATCTCAATTTCTTCGTTATTCGAAAGCTGTACTCCCAGCTGGTTTGCTCCTATTTACTGGACAAAATAAAAAGTATCAACAGAGCGCGATATCCTCTCTTCCCTCTTTTACACAATTTTGATATCTCGAAAAGAAAAGGAAAAACGATATATAACAAACTTTATCAATTCTAATTCATGAGTAATAATTAATTCGCATTAATACTAAATAGACAGTACACTCTCATGCTTTCACATATATATATACATATACATATACACACATATATGCATATACGTACATATGTATACATACATACATATATATATATATTATATATACGAAACTTATCTATGATAATTTATTTTATCATTACCTATAAAGGCGATAAGTTTCTGCGTCGTACTCACTCACTCTTTCTTTCGTTGCAAGAGATCGCTGTTCGAACATTATTCTCGTAATAAAGAATAACACGTTTCACAATGTGAGAGCAATTATTCCAAGTATAGAATTATACTTTTACGTTCCTGCTTCGGTAATACGAAACAGTTATCACGAAAACGAGTTCAAACGTAACTAAGGCTAGTTTAAACGTAAAAGAATGAACACTTAATAGTATTTTAATCCGTATTTGGAGCAACAATACACGCGCAGACCGTGTGCCGGCCTGAGGTCATAGAATTCATATTTCTTACGTTTAAAAGCCGTGTACTATAGTAGTTAAAAGCGATGTTACACGCGATATCTCTTAGGCTCAATTTTTAGGCATTTACAGGCATAGGATTCAAGAGATACATTTAAATATTGGTTCCTTTCTCTTTTTTTTCTTGTACTCTTCCACAACGAATTTAAAAGATCAAAATCCACCGGCATGTATCGCTTCATCTACAATCGTTGAAATAGTGACGGTCTTTGCCCCCCTCCTCCCTTCTTTTTACGCCTGTAAATAACGCCTCGAAAAATGCAAAACCGCGCGTCTGCGAAACTGGTAGATTATCGTTTGTAAGATACATACGAGAAGTGAAAACGTGAACTTAGGAACTAGGAATCTCGCGCGTAAAGTCCTATAAAAATCGAGTTACATTTAATGAGCAAACAATACACATTATTAATATAATGCACGTGGATTATATTTGTGCAGTTGTCAGGACAACGTCTGGTCTACAGACAGGTCCATTACAGGTCACGGTAAGCGTGGCAGAACTGTCGGCGAGTCAAATGAAAAATCAACCGCGCCAGCTATTCGGACCTTACGTTTACCTGCGACACATTATCTATCGTGGACCAACGCGGTCCTTACGCGTCGAAAACTCAGTTACCAGTGAACTGTTAATTTTTTCCTCACAAAATCTTGGAATAATAAAGAAGTAACGGACATGTATATTGTAGAAGACAACATGTAAGCGTGCGCGAGGCAGTTTAAAATATATATGTGTATAAGTATATGAAATTTGTTGATTTTTAGATTAACAGATTCTTTTGTTAAACTTTAAATAATCACCGTTTAAACATGAAGCGAACATGTTCCGTGTATGCAGGCATAGCACACGTGGAGTCACGGTATCAGTATTCGTGTTACTTCATGAAATGCATTGAATTTGGAATATTAACTTCCGTTCCGAACCCCCTAACAAGATATTTGTGTGACGCGTATATTTAATTACGATCGAACAGCGATCTCGTTACCATCACGCGATAGAAGAATGTCTACATGAATTACACACATTCACACCGTCGTATTCTTTATGATCACAAGCAGGTATCTTCTTATATAATTATCATTACGAATAATTATTAGTTATTTATTAAATAAGCAGGTCTGTGTAAAAATTTAACGTTTTTCGACACACTCGCATCCTATCTCACTGTCATTTGACCAGACTTTGAGCGCGATATTTTCAAAACCCAGTTAATGACTTTTTCTTTTTTTTTTCTTTTTCGTTTTAACTATTCGACTGCCACAGCTGGAAGAAGTAGCCACTCTGAGAAGTTCTTAAAAGTCAACCACGCTATCTTAATATATTATACACATGTTCAATCGCGCATTTACATTCATCATATCTCGCCGACACACATTCGCACATCTTAACTTGCATTACACTGCGTCGAATAAAGTACATCTAACTTCCAATATCTGTATATTTTGACTTTTGTATTTCGACAGAGACTCACCCGGCTGGTATGTAAATCTTCTTCTCACAGTGTCTCAATTAAGATTGTCCCCAGCTCACAGAGTTCGCAACAAATTTATAAGTGTTTAGCGTTATCTCACACAAATCTCACGATTACACGTGAAATTTCAATTTTTTCAGCAGGTTCCTCCAATCAGCCTAAAGATTCGCAAGTCTAAAGGCACCAGGAGACACCAGTGTCAGTGCGCGAGCTTACTTCCTTCGACAAACCCGCTTCACGGTAGTCCTGGTTGTATCGCAAGTTCGTATATCTCTTTCTCTCTTTGTATCTCCGAAGCACTTCAAACTTCATCTCGTCTGAAACTTCGTACACTGATACATAAGTTTTAAAGACAAATTTCTCGAAAATTTTATACGGATACTTAACGTATATACACGCGTGACTCGAACACTGCAAGTTCCCTTCGTTTTAAGAGACAGGATACATAGTCTCTCGGAGAGAAAGTCTCGCCACTTTCGTTTTCAGTCCGAAAACGTCGCTAATTGTCAATACTGAAATTTTTTTACGATACCATTGTCATCGTGAAAGATTCACGCAAGCACAATGTACATGCTGGGTACATATACACTTCGTCCTCTTCCTCCGTCCTTTCTCTAGTTTTTTTTTCTTTTTTTTAGTGACTGATTATATGTACATCGCTATTATTATCTCTTGAGGCACACTTCGCGCCGTTCGGCTTCACTAATTTCGCACTGACTTAGCATACGACTCGAATGAAGTAAAACAGATGGTTCTCCAAGTGAAAGATTATTCCTTAAATCCGCGCTCGACCGTAGCAATTGCGCAACACAGGTAGAGTACTTGGTTTCGTGTCGTCGGCAGGACTCATCGAATTATCTATTTGTAATGGAAGTAGTTTTTTTACCAGTACAAAAGAACTGTTATTGCCTGTTATTTTAATCAGTGCGTCGAGAACATACACTTCACTGTCCACTATAGAACTGTATGCGGCCGCTCGAAGTAATCGGTATCTCCCTCATAACCGCGTCCCACGCTGTTAACACAAAAGAAAAACGAACGTAGAATTAAATACAGAATGACAAAAACTGTGAACGACTAGAGAGAGAGAGAGAGAGAGTGAGAGAGAGATTGATTATTTTACCTAAGCCGACAAACGTTACGATTTTATCGTGGTTGTACGTTTGCACGTTGAGCTCCTCCTCCGGCGCTACATAGAGCATGGAGAAGTCCTCCTTGGGCTGATGAAACTTTTCCACGATTCCAGGTGGAGGTGGCGGCGGTGGCGGCATGTACGTGGGTGGCGGAAATCTCGTGGGATAGCTCATATACGGCAACGGCGGCATCATGACCGGATGAACAGATGGCGGCGGCGGCGGTGTGACATGAGTATTCGACGGCTGTTGCATGTGATAATTGGACGAGAACTTGTCGTATCTAACAGGTTTCTCGAACACAGCAGCCGGCGGGCTCCTCTCCGTGAAGTTAGGCGGCGGCTTGTTGATGAGCGGCGGCATGGCGGGCGTGAAGAGAGCGGGAGTCGGAGGTGGCGGCGTCTCCTCGTTGACGGAATCCTCCGACAGCAGTAGCTGCTCGTTTATCTCGAAGCCGAACGTCAGCTCCGTCGGCAGATTGCTGTTTTTGGCGATATCCGACGAAGCCTCGTCCAGGAGAATTACCGCCGGTCTGGGAGTGGAGTTCTTCGTCTGCTGCGCCTCCGACGGCCTCTGCGACTGCTCCTTGTCGGGATGCGTCGTGTTCTGCGACCTCGTTTTCTTATTCTCGGCCTCGCGTTGATTGTCCTGCTTCGAATTTTGCGACTGGCCACAGACAATAACAGCAACCTTCGCGACGTCGTGCTTCATCGCGGTGTTCTGATACTCTTTCGCAACTCTCGTCGTTGGTTTCGGGTCGCTGTTCCGCCGAGCCGTCTTGCTGATGTCATCGGCTTCTTCTGTATTCTGCAACTCTTGCACGAATTTTGCGGTCGTCTTCGTTTTTTGCGTGTCCGCGTTCGCATCGGGCGATGAACTGGTCGGATTATTAGCCTTGCTTTCTGGCTGCGGAGCGTCAGTGTTGTGTGACTTTTTAACCGCTTCGTCGTGGAAAAGGCATGCGGTCTTCTTGACATGCTGCTCCTCATACGATCCCTGAGTTTGTATATTCGGATTACTATGTACATAAGTCCTGCGAGAACGAGGATTGTTGGCTCTTACGTGTACGACAGAATCCTTACTACTATTGACGGTGCAATTTATGTTAGTATCAGGATCAATCGGACTGTAATGCGTCACTGTGCTGTTGTTTAATCTGGGCGTCGTGAAATTTGTTGTCGCAGGACTAGTTGTCATAGTAGTCTCGTTGGGATTTACACCGTGACTACCGGAAGTAGAGTGCTTCTGTTCTTGTGACAGGCTTTCGTGCATCTTCTCAATATCCTGCACATACTTAAACACTTGGATGTTTTTGTTAATGGCCTCCTCCTGGGCCTCGGCTTTCTTTCCGTCCGACGAGTTCTTGCCCTTCGTCAGAGTCGGTGAGAGCGGCTTTTCGAAAGCGAGAGTCAAGCTCGCCGCCGCGTTATTCGTGCTGGTCGAGTTTTGTTGCCGCACTTTCTTCTCCGAATGCTGTATCTCGTCCAGACTTGGATAGTAGTCCTGGGGTATTTTATCCGGTTCCGAGGGGGTCTTGGGTGGAACACTGGGCCACGACGCTGAGTTTAGCATGCTCGGCACGATCGCAGACATGTTCAGGACCGAATTATGCGACATGTTGATAGTAGCCATGCGCGCTATATCCGCGTAACTCGCTTGCGGCGTACCGCCAGATGACGTTGCGACTTTGGACAAATTGTGCTTCGTAGTGTTCGACGTAACCGGTAACGAATGCACTGAATCGAGATCACTACTGTCCGACTTGTCGCTGCAAAAAAGACATTTCCAATATTTATTTAAATATAATCGCAACATTTTTAACTGATAGAATTGATTTTCAGTGATAGATTGACAGTCAATCTCTTACGTATTACTGAAATAATTTATGCCAATTTGTAAATTTGACTAAGGAGAAAGAGAAAGATCAGTCAAGAGTTTGAGAACAACATTTGGAATTAATTTAATCAACAAAATTTCAAAGTTGAATCGTTATTAGTATGTGAGGTTTTATGTTTAGTTCAATATTTCGTAATTACCTTGGAGGCATGCTGCTTGCTGATTTTCTTCGGAGCTCAGGAGAAACCGGTGTTCTGTATTCATTAGAGAAACCTCTGGAATTCTGAAGGTACGAACCCGATGTTGCCAGGTTTTGTGCTCTACTACCACTCGAGCTTCTTCTCTGCTTCTTGCTCTTCTTTTTTTTCGTGACCACCAAGAATTCCGTCTCGTGCTCCTGTTCTGAATTCGTCTTCTTGTTAGAATTACGACGGTTCGTGTAATCATCTCCCGTATCGTTGCAATATATCGACTGACCCTCCTCTGTACCCCAGGATCGTCTATCACCTCGACTGTCAACTGTCGCGTCTCCAGTGCTCTTCTGTTTTGCACGTCGCAAGGCCACATTTATCGTACCTACGATTGCAAAAATGATGTAAGAAAACGTATAATGTAAAACATGATGTCAGAAATGATATGTAAAAAACAATGTAAAAACTCAATATAATCATTAAATTATACCAAGTTAAAGAAACAAATTTGTTAAATAGCAGCAGCATTTTTCACTACTCAATCTGTATATATAAATTTAAAATATGAATGGCATTGAATATATATTAATAATAGATTGCAAACAGCATATTAATTGCAACTTGCCATGTTGACTGGATATGCTACTGGCACCGCTAGAACTAACGCTCTTTTCTGTAGTCAAGTCCTCCAGTTTAGTTTTCGAAATTTCTTCCAAAGAGTTGGACTTCTGAAGCTTCGAAGGTAATTGTTCCCTTTTCGTATCCTTCTCTCTGGTTCTCGGTTTTGTGCCAGAGCTGGCTTTTACCCTAACGGGATTGCCAGTTTTACCTTTCTTGCTCTTGGAGTTATTATTTTCGATGAAATTGACCAAAGTTTCGATATCATTATCGTAACGATGACCTTCGACGTTCTCGGAATTGTAAACTTTCACATTGTGCTCTTGAGTATGTTTTCTCCGAGGCTTCTTTCGCTCGCCATTATATGTCTGTAAGGAATTTCCATTTTCGTCCAAGGATTTCTTTTCTCCTGACGCTGATGGGTCCTTCATTGTAATGTGCTGCGTTGCATACCTGGGGCCTTCTGTGTACAATCCATGTACTTTAGTTTACAAAAAATAACTTTTATTAACTTTGACTACTGAGAAGATGTATATACATTATATAATATATTCATTTAGTCATTGCAAAATATTTCCTCAAATATGTAATATATCTCATAATATCTCATAAATCGTATGCAGAAATATATACAGAGAAAGAGAGAAAGATGTTGATGCTACACAAAAATCGAAGGTAATTGTTCCCTCTTCGTATTCTTTTCTCTGGTTCTCGGTTATGTGCCAGAGCTGATTTTTACCCTAACGGGATTGCCAGTTTTACCTTTCTTGCTCTTGGAGTTATTATTTTCGATGAAATTGACCAAAGTCTCGATATCATTATTGTAACGATGACCTTCGACGTGAATTATAAAATTACTGGATTTTACTTATAAATTTATTCTTGTCAAACTATATTCGTGCATTATGTGCCAAAATTACAAATCCGCAATCTCTTGCAAAGATTCCACTTTTGGCTTTTTCTAAAGGACGCCTCTTCTAATCTGAATCATGATAGCAGTAAAATTTAAAGTGTGGTTTTCTCACAATGTGTTTGCAGATTTGTAATTTTGATACTGATGATATATTAATATGTAATCTTACCCATTGTTATATTCTGCGTCTGCCAAGATGATGGCATTACGGAGCACAAACTTGGTACGACCTTACTACCCTGGCTACTGCTAGAACTATTGGAAGCTATACCGCATTTTACGCTGTTATGCGGTTGAAACGACAGAGCTCCCGTCACCTCGGTACCATTAACAGATATCTTCGATTTTTCCTGTTTGTGTTCACGAATAGGAAACTCTATAGTGGTGTCCACAGGAGTCTGCGTTATGTCGAAGGTCGCCCGTGTAATATACTGGACAGGTCTACGTGGCTCAATAATTTTCATTTCAGTTCCTTCGTCGGTCTCAGTGTCTAAAGAGCGAGGTCTTTGAACTCCGCTCGCTGTAGATCCGATATTCCTCTCACTGATAGCACCTACCTGCTGTACAGGAAGAATAACACGTTTATGCGTTATATTTTAGCTTTTACGTAAAAATCTGTGCTCTATAAAAATACAACATATTTTCACTAATCTTTGAAACGTAACATTATGATAAAAACAATTCTATTAAGATTATATAATCTATGTATTGATATAAATTATATACTTTACCTCAACATCACCTAAATCGATCACCATGTAGTCCGATTTATATTCCGGGGGTGGATTATCGGAATCCAGCATCTCATTTGTTCCGTACTTTCCTTTGCTAACTCTTTTCTCCCGTGTCTCAGATTCCGTCTCGCCTGAACTAACGGTGTCCCGTTTCGAGTCCTTCTTGTCTTTCTCCTTGTCTTCCTTCTTTGTACTAGTATATGATGGTTTGTCCAGAGATTTGGATTTCTCTTTATTGGTCCAATCGTATACTGGTCGCTCCTCGTAGAAACCCTTCTTTGCAAACAGATAAAATTCCTTATGTATAAATTGTTCCTAAAATCTCTTATCGAAATTGTATTTATCACTAAGTAAAATTTCTATCAAAAATACGTATGTATTATCTATAACGAAATGAACGTTCAAAAGCAACAATTATATAAGTACCTTTTTGTCAAATATTAGGTCCAAGTTGGCCAAAGAAGCAAGGCTATGCGATGCGTTTACATTCGACGGTAATGATCCACCTTCTCTTTGTCTAGCGGAGACACTGGGTCCTGTGTATTTTTTATTCTTCCTCCTACTGCTACCATAAGTGTGACATGAGCCAGATGTCAGATAAGCGAAACTGCTATCAAATTCTGAAGCAATGGGTTGTGCTAAATTTTGTAACGATCCTCCGTGTGTCAAACGTTCGGATACAGATTCTCGTTTATGTCTTCTGCGATTTGAGCCAGGCAGACAGCGCGAATTGGATATCACCCTACGTCCTTCCTCAGTCTCGTCTGCTTCTGCTTCTTGTAAAAGTTCCTGAAAAGCATATATGTTGTATATCTAAACTGTAACATCAGTGAGTTTGTTTGTTTTTCTTATTTCATATATAACTTAAAACATTCTATAAATACCTTAAAAAGATTAGATTTCCCTTCTCTATCTTTTGGACACTTATATGTTATAGCTTCGTCCAGCAAAGCACGTAGTTCACCCTCATTTAACGCAGACAGAGTGGCTGGTTCCTCCTAAAAATGAAAACAACTGAGAAAATTACGTCATTTATGCAATATTGCAGAAATTGCACCATGTATGTTACCGTAATATATATATATATATATATATATATATATATATATATATATATATATGTTATAATCTCAAAATGTATAAGAGGTTACAGTAAATAAAGTAAGATATTGATTTCTGATAAGAATATTTTTTAATGTGACTTATTTATGTGACTAACGATCATATCTAAAATACTATAATATTACTGATAAAATCTAAGATATGCAGAAAGTTTATCGAAAGACACACGAGACATCTTTCTTCACATAATTTTGCATCTTACATTGCATCATTGCATCATTATACTATTACAATTTTATATCACAGTAGGAACTAGTTCACAACTTGTGGATAAATGCAGGTATAGATAGACTCATAGAATAAAATTGAAGCTTTCCTTATTCAGTTTAAGGCTTACAGCAACCACATGAAATGCATAGTGTAGAAATAAATAAAAAGAAAAACAGAAAGAGATATGCTTAGCATCTCTCTAATACTGCAAACCTTCAAATTATTTCACATATACAATTCAGTGTAAAGTAATCCCATTTATCTTTACTTAACCTTTACTTTCAACATTTTACATACAATCAATGAATAACGCATTCTTGTGCCACACGAATAATTGGATGAAATAAATTGTAGACACATTTGGATCTGTACGATGACAGTGTTGGAAAAAATGACAGGTTAATAGACGAGAATCGTCGATATCGTGTCAAACACCATTATTGCTTCACCATTCATTCACATCTCATCACGTTTTGCAGTTTCCGTTTAGATATTTTCGAATCGAACACGTGCCTATACATTTCGGAACCAAATATGTCTCTATATTCGTGCATTTTGACTCACAGCTGACAGTCTTGACATCAGTAGGTGAAGAGATAAATTTAGAGGTTAAGAGAGATAAATCGCAAACTGCACAATATCAAATTAACCGATAAAACGATACTTCCACGTATCTAATATCTAGGCATGATATGCTCGACACGAAAACGTTTAAACCGGAAGGAAAGGTATCAGCAAAACAACGTTGAGTGTCGAATTACAATTGCACTATCGGGTAACAATTGTACTTTGAGATGTAAGAAACACAGTTTCGCTAAAGTGTCTCGAAACGCGAATTATGCTTACTCGTGCTAGAAACTTGAGTGTCAAAGAGATAGATAAGGCAGATTGAAAAGGGAAAAGAGATATATAGGGTGGACACATAGGGCGGGGGAAGACGGCGAACAAGAGCGAGCGAGAGAGCGAGAAAGAGAGAGAAAAGAGAGAGAGAGAGACGGAGAGAGAAAGACAAAGAGGTTAGAGAAGAAACCACGGGATAACGAGGATACACGGTCTCGTAACGAGTTCACGCGGACACTGTATCGCCGAAAATCGTCAACAAGTCTATAATTCCTCTCGGGGAGGAATTGTCCGGCTGGACGAAAGGGACGAGAGCAAAGGTCGACAAATGACGAGTGGGCATAGAAGCGAGAGATCACATAGTGAATCGACGTCGAGGACGGTGGTACAAAGAGTTCGATGCCATCCGTGAGAGATCGATAGCGTTCTCGCGATTAGCTAATTAAGACACGAGCAAGACAGAGACAGAGGGAGATAGAGAGAAAGAAGGAAAGAGAAAGAGACATCGAGAGCGAGAGAGAGATATCAGGGTTGACTTACGAGAGGCGGTGGAAAAAAATTCGCTAGTCTCAGTGCTGACACGGAATTTATATTTTTAGAGGACCGCAGGCCGGGTCGCTCTCAGACCACACAGTCTCTCGAGCTCTTCCTCTTCTTCGCACTACCGTTTCTTCTTCGTGGGCCGTACACGGCCGTCGTTACTGTTTCTTCGTGTACAAACGAATCAACAACGCGTGTCGCGGGATGCGTCAAAACTCTCACGTCTCGAACACGATATCGTTCGCTCGTCGACACGCAACGAAGAAGTGTCAGCGATGCGGCAAGTGTGTCCCGATTTTTGAAAGCTAAAACGACAAGCGGGTGTAGAACACTGTCACTAGCATGGCTGCCACTATTGGACTGAAATCACAGAGCAAGCCCAGAACGTGCAGAGTCGACGGAGCAAGTGGTGCCCTCTGATATGCTATTCCTAACATAATCCTCCCTTCCATTCTGCTCTCTTCCTTTCTCTCTTTCTTCCTTGCTTTCTCCTCTATTTTACTCTTTCTCCTTCTCTCTCTACCTTCTATGCTTTCTCATTCTCTTTCTCTTCCAACCTTTCTCTCTCTCTCTTTCTTTCTATTTATCTATCTATCCCTATCTACTCCGTGACTCTCGTCGCAATATTCGGTGTCCGCAAAACGTTCCGATGAGAATGAAACGAACACAAAGGGCAAATATGTTTCAATTTCTGGGTCAGGGGTCAAAAATCAATGTGATTATGGTAAGGTTAGTTTCTGACGCGACAAACGCGCGAAAATATACCTATGGTCTCACTCGTTTTTATCTTTGCGCAAGGGAGCGCGCGTGTAGCAGATAATTTTCACTCGTCCGTGGCGATATTGAAATCTTACTTGTCATGCAAGAACCGGAATGTTTATGTTTACGGTAGCGCATATTCGTAGCTCGTGTTTGGAAGATCACGACTCAATGTTATCTAAGCCCGGGAATCTGTTGATGTATTGGACAATAAATGCGAGATGCGACAATGAGCGTGAGCTTTCTCTTTCTCTTTCTCTTATCGAGCTTACGACAAAAGGAGTGATTTTTTTTCTCAATAAGGTTTCTTTCCGACGATCACTTGAACGTCTAATTTTCTAAGGTGTGCCTGCTTAAATCTTGCAAAAGAATTCCACACGAGAATCTGCCAATTTTTTAAAGCATACAAGATCCTGGGGAAAAAAATCTCTTGCGGATTGTGTCAGGAATCTCTTGCAAGAATAATAACCTGTTACAACACACTCGCACTTGCGTAACCTCTGGTTATCGAGTACACAATCTCTGAAATTCTGACGTTCTCGTCTTTTTCTTTTACGAATTGTGAATCTAATACCGTAACTACAGTTCAACGTTCAGCGTCGTTTTACCAATATACAAAATGTCTGTTAACTTCTATGTACGGGTTAGATATTTCTGGATCAAACCGCACCGTGTCTACACATGGCATTATTAAAATTTCCTAGTTTCGTCTTAGCATTTTTCTAAGTCCTAGATTTGTCTCCACAACGTAGGAAGAGATTGAGGTGAATATAAAAGTCCCATACCATTTTGCGATATTCGCAATAAATCTCGAGATATTAAAGAAGATTGATGAATAATCACGATATGAGCTGTAGTGGCGATGTGTGCTGTCGCGTGCTTATACATTAAGTCAAACTGAATAAAAAAGTCCTTAATCATTTTGCAAATAACCACGTAGATTTTTTTGTAATTAATGAAAGAAAACTGTTATATGATTGAACGCGATAATGCACAAATATTCTTTAATTAATAACTAAAAATCTATGTAGTCATGTTGCAAAATGGTAGAGAACTTTTTTGTTCAGTTTGACTTAATGTACAAGCGGCAGAGGGCGCCGTTGTATTCAGACATTAGTGCGCAATGATTGTTATTTATAAATGATATACAAAAATACTTTTCTTTATCACCTATATATATGATAATACAGCAATATCTAATCACAATGCGTTCAACACGAAAATGCGTATACGTATGTGCGCGTATGTGTGTTCGACCTTGTCATGTTTGCTGATCGAAAGATCTGAAATTACTCTTTTTTTGTCAGTGTACACAGCATTGATATCTCCGATATATTGGTATATATTGGTTAATTTAGAATATCGTGTAATACATTATACTTATCTTTTAATCTTATGTTTAGATCGTTCACGTGCGCGCGAGACATTCTCACAGCTGTCAAACGTAAACTCTGAATCATGACGTGCGGGTACCTAAACATAGTGCGCTCAGAAGTATATAAATTGGAAGGTATCAATGACGCGGTATGTACTTAGATGGATGCATAGGATGACTCGTTGAATATCGCTCAAGTCAATGTCAAAGGTGCAAGGACTCTCCTCGAAGGAACGCGTCTCGGATATGTTAATTTTGTGCGAAGTGTTAGGAAAAAACGATATATGTTATGATGCCATTTGCACTTTTTAGACGCACATCGATAGACAGAATCAATCAGTTACAATCGCCGACTAGCCACATCGAATTGTTTCCGCGCTTAATGGATCTCACAGTAAGGTAAGATCTCGAACCTTTCGTACATTTTTCCGGTACGGATGTTCACTTTTCAAATCTTATCGCTTTAGACGAACGGAAACCAATATCGCATGAAGCTTTCATTTTCAAAGACATAAAAGTCGAGAAACATTCCCTTCTAACGAGGGAACTCTTTTATCTACTTGTTAAAAAATTGATTTTTTCCCTTGACTTTTTTTTAAACAGAGTTTCAATACGTATTAATAGTTAAGCATTTTCAACAGAGCCGTAAAAATTGACCAGTAAAAGTTCGAAAAGAAGAAAGATCTCTTTTAAGGTTTTAAATGTCTTTTCACTAGAGAGATATCCTTCCACGCTCTTCCAAATGATTACATGTTGGACGGCGATGATAAATAGTTCGTTTCAGGTACCAACTGTGATCCAATAATTTATGGTCACCGTTTCTTTAGCAAGGGATCTCTCAGGTCAGATGTGAAACTGGAAAATTTTTGACACAATAGAACTTCAAATAAATCTACATACTTTTTCTTAAAAATGTACAAATACGTATGTAAAAGCTAAAGTTACCACATCCAATAGTTTTCTTGAAAGTAATGCTGGAAAATAGTCAAAAATGCTGAAAACAAGCGATTTCCCTTTTCAGCAAATTATTTCCTCGTTGAAGACACGACGATGTTTCACGATACCAAAGCATTAAGACAAGCTCAACGATATGATTTTGTCAATCAGAGCATTAAAGCAGTTAACAATCGAGGTTCTGTGCTTTATCTCAAACTTTGAAAGGGGTCTTTCTTCGAACTTTTACTGCTGATTAATTTGTACGGGTCTACTGAAAACTTCTTATTTTATGCAGAAATTAAGCACGCAAGTGAAAGGTGTTAAAGCAGCCTCGTATGCATGTGAGTATGCGAATCAAAGTCGTTGAAAATTACAAAAGTTACGATGCTACATTTTTTGAACATTTACTCCCGACGAAATCGACGAAAGGAGAGAAAAAAGAGAACACACAGGCGGTTTGAGTTACTCGAATCAGATGTCGGGAATTGGGACCCGCCGCTGAGACACGGGAAAACACGCTGATTTCCACCGATGGCGATAAACGCGGCGACGACTGTCTTTTCGTGCTTTCGCCGGTGCAACCGTAAGTACTAAAGATCCGGACTCATCGAAATTATAACGGCTTCGACCTCTCCTCGCCGAAGGAGGATGATGCCTCTGGACGACGTCGCTGAACGGTCGCTCGCGCCGTATACGGAGTTCCACGCTAAATCGTCACGAGTTCTCCGACGAGTGTATGCGTGTACGCGCATCGCGACGACGATATTAGACGTTCCGTAGGTTACGTCTGTCAATCGCGTATTCTTCTCGAACACGTCCCTGAGATTCTCTCACCGCTAACGAGGTGTCAGCGCGACGACGCCAGAGATGCAAGTCAGTGAATTGCACGCTCGCTCACCTTCCTCCGACGAGAGATAATAGAGTATGCTCCGCGAGTATCGCGTGCGATAACGAGAGATTTCGCGTAATAATAATAATAATCATAATAATAATAGAACAAATAGACGCGCAAGAACATATACATACACGTAACGTTGAACTTGGGTGTGAAGGAAATCGAGCAGCGAGCGCGATTACTTCGCACGCGATAGAACGCGATAGGATTTTGTTTTCAGGTGCAACCGCCTAATGACCTAATAAAATATACATAATAATCGAGCAGCTGACACTTGAGTCAGAGAAGAATAAGCAAGGAAATGTGAAAGCAGTTACGAAGATACAGGGAATCGGAGATAAACGCAACATCGCCGAGACGACGAGATAATAACTACAGGAGGCGACAAATCGGAAGATGGATATGACTAAAGGATAAAACGGATGAATAACGCGGTATAGAGGAGCACTGTCGCGAGCGTGGATGTAGTTTTATAAATAAGACGCCAGGGAGGGGGGAGAGAGAGAGAAAGAACACGACGAAACACTTACTACTCCTATACGCACGCGGATTGCGGGTATTGGGACACCACGTGTAAAAGTCGTGTCTTTGAGCCTGTTCTTTGTAGTTGAACTGGTGCATACTTTGGGAACATAAAGAGGAATCCGTATACAGCTGCGACTTGATCTAAAATAGAGAGAAAGAGAACTAGCGCAAGCTAGAGTGCAGCCAGTTGATCTGCAAAGCACAGAGCATTTGTTTCTCGACTCGAACATTTCATTCTAATTCGACTGCCGTAACTCAGCTGCTTGACCCTCCCTATTGATTTCCTCTAAATTCGGCATAACACAGAGTCTGAGAGCCGGCGAGAGTATCCTCGTTCTTCTTATTACACAACGACGGTAAATCAGAAGTACCAGATCGGCGCCGACCCGCGTTTGTTCGCGATCGGCTGTGTCGCTTAATTGCACGAAAGAAATCGCACGAGCCGATCGAACGTCCAAAGGGGGCGTATCGGGGACGTTTGTGCGACACGTCCTCGCTCTATCGAGGACCAGCACGGCCATTTCAGGAGAGTAACGAAGCGTGTCCTCAAATAGCAAGATACAACCGTGCGAGTTGTTACAGAAAAAAATGATTACGTTGCTCCGCAATGTATTCAGAGACTGACAAAGAGTCGTTAAAATATCTAATCGTGACTTACGCTCAAATGCAGAGAAATAAGCACACGTATCGGTACCTGATCATGTTGCTGTTTGATAAATTAAATTGTTAGATGCTCGTAAAAGTTCGTAAGGTCACAAGTAGATGGCTGTAACAGCGACTTAATAATTGTTTCCCTTCAAGCTTCAGTGGCTTTTTAATTTTTAAAGGTTAGCCATGAAAATTGATGGTCGACAATTCATAGTTCCGAACAAAACGTTGCATTTTGTCCGTTTCTACCAACTTTGGTTAACTTAACTGGCTGATTATTCCAATGGAATTGATCAATCGCATTTCTCGTTAGTCAGAATTGACAGATGCGATTGGTCAATTCATCGGAATAACTAGCCGGTTAAGTTAATCAAAGTTGGTAGAAATAGATATTAATGCAATTGAGGATGGAAGCAGATAAAGTTCATCTTCGCCATTGCATGCTTTACCACTTTAATCGAGGTGAAACTGTCGCAACAACCAAGAGACTGATTTGAGACCTATGGAGAGAATATTGTGTTCGTTATTGTCTGTGAAAAATCGTTTGAAAGGTTAAGAACTGGTGATTACAATGTCAACGATAAGTCACGCTTTGATCGTCTAAACGAGATAAAGAACAATGAATTGAAAGTATTGCTCAACGAAAAATCGTCACAAGCATTAAAAGAGCTTGCGGGGCAGCTTGGAGTTGATGAATCAACAGTATTCTGTCATTTGAAAACAATGGGAAAGATGCCAAAAGAAGATGAAAGACAAACGTTCCGCGTTGAAAAAAATAGCCGCGAATGGACGCAGAATCATCCTGCTTCACAACGCCAGGCAGTATGTTGCCGTTGCGACTAAAGAGACGTTGTCCGAGTTGGAGAACTCCTTAGAATTGAGAAGTCGCACCCAGCGTACTCTTCAGACATCACCCCATCTGATTTTCATCTATTCAGAGCGATACGGGCCATCTGATACACGGCTCCGAAATGTTGAGGAAGTGCGAAAATGGATCGATGAATTGTTTCAAAAGATGAGTCATCTCATCGGCGCAGGATCAAACTATTGCCCGAAAGATGGCAAGAGGTTATCGATAGCAACGGCCAATACTTTGATTATCATACTTAATATTTATCGTACTATAATACTTATTAATATCATATGTCATCTCATTGTTATTGATCAATAAAAATGGCTTTCACACGAACTATCATACGAACTTTTGTAAGCATTTAATAATACATCGGTGTATCTCGTCACTAGCATTTTTTTCTTTTCAAAGCAGAGAGAAGCTGGAACACGAGGAAAGCTGAAACGTTCCATCTTAGAAGAAGACACTAGTGACGACAGACGATCTAATTTATTGACGTGCACTTTTCACTAATCATCGTCGCGCGACGATACGTGAGAGCTGAATCGCGTTTTCAGAAGATAGATAACAACGTCCACAGTCGTGCGAGCCGAAAGCGAGATCAATCAAGCACCTGACCGGTTTAATTAAGACTCGCATATCAATTAAATGCGGTGACTTTTCGTGCTCGGCCGGTGAGTGGAGGGCGGAACCGTTAAATGAGATAACAAGTCGCCGTCCAGCGTGTCAACCGGTACGATTTGCGCGAAACTTGGCGGCTATTTCTCACGATCAGCCGACTCAGTCTCTCACAGAGGAGAGCCTCGACATAATTTAAATAACTCGCAACGGCCTTTGTGCGTGTGCGTGCGTATGTGTATGTATGTATACGTATGCGTGTACATGTGACGCGATACTCTGATTTATAAGATATCTGCGGCAACTTTGACTCTCAAGCAGATCAGCTCTCGTCGACGCGACTCTCTGCGACTCGCGTCTCTCCGGCGACTCGATCGTCTGCTCACCTGTTTACTGTCAACGGCGTTGCTTGGCGGTGAGCTTTGGTTGGTCGGATCGGCGCCAGCGGCAGAATTAGCCGGGGCGATCTCGATGTTCGAACTTTGTTCCGCAACGACAACGACAACGGCGGCGGCGGCGGCGGCGGCGGCGGCGGCGGCGGCTGCGGCGGCGGCAGCGGCAGCGGCTGCGGCGGGAACGGGAACAGGAGCGGCGACAGAGGCTGCGTTGTTGTTGTTGTTGTTATTGTTGTTGTTGCCAGTCGTGGTGCTGACGTTGTTCTCCGCGTCGACGACAACGTCGGCGGTAGCGGCGGCACGATCGCTCTCGGCGATTTTGTCAGGAGCTACCGGTTCCTGGCGGTGTTCCGGCCCTGGGGCCATCTTGATTGAAATTGACAGCGCGGTGTCCGCCGTGCTCATGGCTCCCTCCTCGACATCTCTCTCTCTCTCTCTCTCCCTTTCTCTTCTTTTCTCTCTTTATCCTGATCCCTCAAGGGCCACCGTGCCCCGGGAGCACCATTCGCGTATTTGTCGGCGATCCGTGCCGCATTGACGACCCGCTACGCTGCGCTGGCAACTCACAGTCGGACAAGCGCGCTTCACATCATCGATATGCCCCGGTGTGTCGATGACAAGCGTATCGAATCAGCGGGTGACAACGAAGACGAACCGGTTGCACCGATGCCAATACGGGACGCTACAGTCCCTACCCTCGACTGAACACTGTCTTCCTTCTTTTCCGTTCGGTTCTACGTAGGATTGCAACTTAGAAAAGGACGGTCCGTCGTTGAACTAGGTATCGACATAGATCAGGACAGAGGAAAACGGTCGCTAATCTAGGATTGGCTGATCTAGAGAAGGACGAAAGTTACTAGTTTAGTGGAGATTAATCTAAAGGACAGCCTGTCACTCTGATCTAGATGTTGACCTAAAAAAAAAAAAAAGAAACAAATAGCCAATGTAAGATTCGCTACTTGAAAGAACACGGTTACGTTTCGTCAATTTGGAAAAGTCAACTGCCAATTTGGATATTAACTTAGAAAAAGACAGCGAGTTGCTGATCTAAGAGTACCTAACCTAGAAAAAGACAAGTCTTGCTGATCTAGGAATAGCCGATCTAGAAAAGCACGAGAAATCCGTAATCTAGGATGACACATGAGATCGGTGCAACGCGATTCTCACGAAAGATCCTCGCGGACGAGAACGACGAAATGGCTCCGAAAATGGTCGCTCACCGTTGACGATTAGTCACGAGACTCCTCGCGAATTCAAGGAATCTCGCCGTTTCTTCAGCTACCGTACAGAAGAGGACCGGTTGGTGTCCAATCACGTCGTCTCCTCGGTGACGATACTCGGACGACAGTTCTCGACAACAGAGGCTCGCTCGCTCGCTGAGATTTGAGGTTAGCTCCTCGAATGGACTGTCAACTCGCGCACACAGCTGTCCCGCGGAGTCATCGATCGCGTTCGCGACGCAACGTTTGGCGTTGTCCGTCACTTGCTCGGGGAATATCGCGCGTACGCGAAGGAAGATCCTCACGGAGCAGAAGCACGAGCGTGTCTCCTCGAGCCGCGAACACGACGGAGCGAGCGTCCGTTCAGACGGGAGGCAACTTACGTAAACGCAACTGTCGCGGTCACATGTCAAATTCGAACGAGCGACGCATCGCGAGCGGGTGGATCCCGCTCTGTGTGTGTATGTAGTGTGCTGCTGTCTGTCTCTGTCTCTCTCTCTCCCTCTCCTCTTCTGGCGCGTTCAATGTCGAGTGCTCGCAACTCTCGGGGGAGTATGGATTTTTCGTATTTCCTCGGTATCAGAGTCGACGAGGTTTATCGAGCCGCGCTACTGGAACCGGTGGAGCGAGTGGCCCCGCGAGTGTCACTGTCGCGCCTATCGGCATTCCCTCTTGAATGTAGAAAACCCGGCTGTGCGGCACCATGGCTAAGTACGCACGTACATACGCACGTCGACGACGACGACGCGTTAGCGATGCGCGGGCGCGCGCGCGCGCGTGCGTGCGTGAGAGCGTGCGTGCACGCGAGCACACGAACGAACGAACGCCCTGGGGAAACGCTTCTCCCTTGTTCCCTCTCGCGAAGGAGTCGCGGTGGAGAAGAGCGACGTCTCGTCTCGAGCAGGCGGGCAGCAGTGCGCGCGCGACACGGGGAACCGTCCAATTTTGGCGTCCCGCGGCTCTCTCTGCGTTGACAATCGCCGCCGCGCTTGGAGCACACGTCAATTCAAAATGGCCGCCGCCGCCGCGCAGGAGCGACGGCGAATGCACGCGTCCGTTCCTCTGGCCGGATACAACGCGGACCACGGACTCGAGGAGAAGTCCGTCCGCGAAGGAATCTCGCGATTCACGCACACTACTCGCGCACACCCGCAGCCATACACACCTCACGCACCACCACCACTACCACTAGCAACAGCAACAGCAACAGCAGCAGCAGGCACCACCACCACCACCGCGTGAGCGGCTTCCTCCCCCCCCTCGCGTGCACTTACACGCGCGCGTAGCTCACGACGCGTCGCCTACTTGCTCTTCCGACCGCGCGCGTGGAGAAACTTGACAAACGGACTCATCGTCGCCACCGGCGCCTCGCGATTCGTGGCGTGACGCGACCAACGGTTTACGCTCAAACTGTCGGCATGGCAGATACCAGCAGACACGAGTATCCTTGATGACTGTCCCGTATACGCGATATGCACGGCTCCGAGACGCGGGACACTCTCACTCGCGACGAGAATCAAACGCGCGCGCGAGAAAGAGAAAGAGAGAAAGAGTCAAATTGAAGTCGCCGACTTCGCGAGCGCGTGTGCCCGTCGATTGGTTGTCGTCCGAGCGTGCCGAGATCGTCGGCGAGTTATCGATCGCGTAACGTCGCCTTCTTCACGGGGACGATTGGATTGTTCCACCTCGAGCCTCGGCGACGACGATGACGATGATCTCGAGCAAGACGCGGAACTCGCGCGCGTCGCTATCGGAAGGAAGTAGAGTCCCGGGCGAGAGGCTGGAGGGCCGCGCGACGACGCGGCGCGAAGACCACCGTCCGCCCGCGAAACACCCGCCCGACGGATTTCGATCTCGCTCGGATCTCACTCAGGAACGGTGATATACGTTACGCACAGACGCGCGGACGGGATGCCCGGTCGACGACGGACGAGCCACTCGCGAGCCAAGACTCGCGATCTCAACGACGCGGTCCGCTCGCGCGCGCGGACAAGTATCTCCGGGAGAAGCCGTGGCGGACGCGCTGCTGTACACGGACGCTTTCCCGTTGCGACACAATAAGCGGTCGGCTTTTGCGCAGAGGAACGGCGCGGACCAGCCGCTTGGTCTCCGAAAATGTCGTCTGGCGGGCAGGCGCGTATCCGCTGGCCGGGGCGCCCTCCGTTCACTCGCGAGTTGAAATGGTTATCGTTATTCGATATGAAAATATCGAGTAAAATCTTATGAACAGAATATCGAATACGTGTCTTTTAACTATTAGTAAATTCACGAATATTTTCCATGTTAAAGTCGATGTTCCAGCTGAACTGGTGCAATAAATTAGAGTGAGCTAAATATATTTTAGGTTTGTTCTTCACGCTGCATGAAACTGCACTAGTATTGAACTGAAGTAAACTGAACTAGGACAGGCGAGTACAGTGTGATTCACATCAATGCAGAACTGCATTGAACTGACCTAGGGCAGCCATCATATAAATAAAGCAATTTTTCTTGCTTAAGAAAAAATATGTAGAAAAATATATAAAATTAAAAAGACTAGTATATTGTAATTCTTTTTTTTTCTATTTTTGCATTAGAAGAATTCGATATTTATTCGATATATTCATATTCGACATTTTCGCGTGATATCAACATGCTACTCACAAGCGAGTCGAAAACAAGGGAGGAAAATCGCAGCGAATTTGGCTGAATTTGCACCAAAGCATTGAGTGCTCGCTAAGGCCCATATTCTGAATCCTCTCTTATTTAAAAGTGCCTCTAAAAGAGACCTGATTGGCTGAGAAGCTATATTCAAGGCACTTTTATTAATAAAAGAGGGTTCAGAATATGAGCCTAAGATTCGTTCATAGTCCATTCTAATATTTAAGATCATCTTAAACTGCATCTTCAAATACTTCTTAGCTAGCAAAATGACCTGCATAGCATCCGTGCAGGTTACTTTGTTGAATAAAAAGCACTCAAAGATATGTCTAAGATGACTTTAAATATAAAAACAGTCTATGAACAAGCTTTAGTGCGTATCAGGGCAACCCGCCGAATTTGCTATAAGAAATCATCTATAATGCGGTCATGGTTACGTTTTAAAGACGTAGTGCTAGTCTGTTGTCCTTAAACTCAGATTAAGACTTAATAGACGTTGGTGAAATCGAGCATAAGTAAGTCTTTTCTGATACTCAAGTTAAAACAATTTTATACAATTTTATTTTCGTGTATGGAAAACAGAACTTAGAATAAAAGGGCGTGCACATTCGAATATCAGAGAACAGGGCCCCTATTCTTGAAATTGTTGCGTACACATAATTTTCATTGCGCAGCTATTTTATGGTATGATTAAACCTGCGCAGTAAAACTTACGTATACGCAACTATTTCAAGAATAAGGGCCCAGGGCCTCAGCTGAGCAGAAACGGCCCTGAGCGTCTGTAAGTTAAGGGTCGTCTACAACGCGGTCGCATTTGCATTTCAAAGTCGTGGTCGCGCTAATCCGTGAATCGATTGTATATCTATTTCCTTCACGTGAATTTGTAATCAATGTCAAGATTCATTAGCCAGTTCGATGAAACTTTCCACAAGTTCACGCGAAGGAAACCAGGCTTGTCCGAAGAACTTCTGCATAAGTCAGTGCAATAAGTCAGAGTGAAACAAGAATACGCTTCCTTTCATTCCAACTTATTGCACTAGGAAGTGTGCAGTTGAAAAGTTCTTCAAAAACGAATGAAGCCCATATTCTTAAAATTTTTGCGCGTATGCAAGTTCCTTCGCATAAATGTAATCGTATCATAAAATGGCTGCGCAATGAAATATACGCATAAATTTCAAGAATATGAGCCCAGATCTCTTGGCGCATGACCGATTCACAGATCACCGCTGCGAGTTTGAAACGTAACCGGATTCCACTGTAGACGAGCCTTTAAGGCTACGCTCCTGACTTCGATTATGCGTCGGTGCGCGAAGGTCGATATATCTCGAAGGCGACTTCGCGCGGGCATACGCCGTTCGATGCCTCTCATTGACTGGTCGCCACCACCCGCATACGGACGTGCGTGCGTGCGTGCGTGCGTGTGTGATACAGGAAGATCGCGTGTGCATTCGTAGCCGACTCAAAAGTGCTCGTGATAGGCAAGTCGCGTCGAGATAATCCTTGATACGAGTACGTCGTCCTATCTGGCTTATCTAGCCGTTGCCGCCGCCACCGCTGCCGTTCTCGTGTTGTCTCGCAGGAAGAAAATTCCCGTGAGGAGAGCTTCGCCGCCGAAGGCAGCAAAATGGCCGAGACGGAGAATATATTCTTGTTCGTGCCAAATATCATCGGTAAATACGTCATATACCGGCCTCGCGTTACGTCGTTCTGTCCAGTAGAGTTTTCTGCGCTATCACGATTATGCTGTGACAAGTCGTTCAGTTGCGTTAATCTTTTGCGTTGGATCACGTGTAGTAGTAGTGGTAGTAGTAGTGGTGGCAATAGTGCGACTGCGGAGCGCACAGCGATGCCCGCCAAGATTTGATTCGAACGAGATCTCGAGATGTGCGTGGAAGGAATCGCTTCATTTTCGCCAAATGATTCTGCAAAATTTGATCGCGCGGTGCGAAATATCGTCAATAACGACGAAGACGATTGTACAAGCCGGATCTGCGGCACTTTTAAGGTTGCTTCTATTATTGATTAAATGTCTACATTGCCGCGCTTTATGTAACATTGTGTCAATCAGCCGATAATAGAACTCTCGCTCGGTATTTTGCAGCCGGCGCTCTTTCATCTCAGATACCGATTCCCGGACATGTATCTAATACTGAACACTCCTATTGTTTTCGTCTTTAAATACGAATATTTAAATTTTTAATATAGTATATATACACACACACAATATTTGTACGTATATTTTATGCTAAAAGTTTGAATATTTGTATTTAAAGAAATAAAAACAATGCCCAGGTTTAGATATATGTTCAGAACTTTCATCTCAAGTTTTGCACGATCTCACTTTACGAGTGATTTTGATCGATTGAGTAATCGTGATAACGAATGATAAAGGCACGTAATCAAGGCAAGGTGGAAAATCCACGCGATAACTGTATGTATGTATGTATGATTTGCTACACCAACAGGTTTCGCCCGAGTGATCCTGGCGCTAATATCCTTTTACTTCATGCCCACCCATTATGTGATCGCCACGACGTGTTACGTTGTCAGTGCCCTGTTGGACGCGATAGACGGCCATGCGGCGAGGTATTACGATCAATGCACGAAATTCGGTGCGATCTTGGACCAGCTGACAGATAGAGTCGGCACGATGTGCCTCACGGTAACCTTGTGCCTGTTCTACCCCACCTACACCTTCTGGTTCCAGCTGAGCATGGCTATCGACATAGCCTGTCACTGGATATATCTGCACACGTAAGGAACATAACGCTACCTGAGAACCCGAAGTAAATATCGCGACTACAGCTTTCTGTCTTGTCGAATTGCAACAGGACTCTCTTGCAAGGAAAGACCAGCCACAAATTCGTCGACATGTCCGGGAACCCGATCATGAGACTGTACTACACGAATCGCATGGTGTTGTTCTTCATGTGCGCCGGCAACGAAGCCTTTTACGCCTGTTTGTACCTGCTGCACTTTACCGAAGGACCCATTTGTGAGTATCGTGCTCTACTCTCTCTCTCTCTCTCTCTCTCTCTCTCTCTCTCTCTCTCTCTCTCTCTCTCTCTTTCTTTCTTTCTCTCACTTTCTCTTTTGTTTCACGCGCCACACAAATGTATGTATGTATACTCAAAGTGGCATTTGATTTTTCAGTTGCCGGTATAGGTTTGTACAGGTTGCTCGCGTGCCTGAGTGCTCCAGTAGCATTGGTCAAGACTGCTATTTCTTTGTTACACGGATACGTGTCGTGCATTAATCTTGGCATCATCGACGTGAAAGAACGTCAAGAGCGACTTAAAGCCAATTAAATATCTTAGTGTATGCATTATCTACTAGTTAAACTGAATGTGATTTGCAGATCTTCCTATTGCATAAGCCGACACGTACGTGTGTTTAAGTATTTCCGAGTATATTTTTGGAAAGCAGAGCGGACATTTAA